CAAAATGCCAGTCCATATGCCCACTTCAACAAAAACATCTACAGACAGTCCTGTCTGATTTCACCAAATCTCCATTTGAGAGCTGCCTACTCATATCCGACAACATTAGAAGGAAGAAACAACCAGCACGGCATATCTATAAGTCGTCGCAGCAGATATATCACAAACTGCTAAGATTGTGCAGGACAGAATGGACTGAAGTGGCCGGGGCAGGCAGGGTATTGACCTGCTTTGAGGACGTGTTGCGGACCCTTAATCCTTAAAAAGGATCTTGTCAGTGCGGCGATGTGATGCCGGTAGCCTGCTGGGCCGGCTGTGGAGATGGCCAAGCCCTGGAAGGCAGTCTGGCTGGTGGGACAGTATGGCCAGAAAAACTACCATCTGCTGGGGAGAGATGTGTGTTTTCACACACACAGGCCCCTTTGGCAACAGCAGTCTGAGAGGGCCTTCTCAAGGACTGGAGAGGACGCCTTAAAAGCTGAGAGAGGCAACAGTGAGGCTACAGGGTGACCCTGGAAAACACGCCCCATTAACTCAATGAAGGGGCATAACAAGTAAATTGGTATTTCACATAGACGTGCAGTTTATGCACATGAATATCAACAGAAATGCAAACATGCGCAGACTGATGGCCAGCATTTCTAGTGTTTGTAATTCCAAGCAGTTCAGCTTTAACCCTCCATGGCCACACGCACTTTAGCAATTAGCAGAGCGTTTTTTGCATTCTTGATTTATCGATTTTGTAGCCCACGGTTGAGATATTCTGAGAAATGTAACCAACAAGCATTCAAATATATGTGAAAATGTATGAATACAAACACAGACAGCATTCTCTCTGTGCTCTAGCCTGGAGCCTGGCTTATCCTCTTTCAGTTTTCCTTTTTTGCTCACTTCAAAGTATCAAAGAGTGAAAAGTTGGAGTGGAACGACTGCACTGTTTGTTTTGTCAAATACACTTCAGAAGAATACAGCATTTTCGTTAGGGGGAATGCAACAGTCACAATCGATATAAGGTCTAGCCAACTACGAAAGAAGCAACATGTGAGATTTACAATAGAACAAAGCACCATGGTTCTCTTAATTCCTACATGGTTAGTCATTTATTCACAATGGAACAACACTAGGCAGGGGTTCAGTACATTCTACTGTCCTAGGTATGGTAAGTATTTGAGTGTTTCCTGTCTTACTTCAATATACTTCGATTGTCTTCATGCATGATTGATTTGCATACTAAGAGGAAGAAAGGTTAAAAATCCATTCTGGGCACTACATCCTCACCCTGTCCACTCCACCTCCATTTGTGCTTCCACTTTGGTCGGGTTAACCATTTTAATGGCCATTCCAGACCAGTCAATGGGCACTGTAAGTGGACTGTAAAGCCCTCCAGTGTTGACTCACCAAAGTCCACTAGTATTATTACCTGGCTGATGTCAAATGTATTGGTAATGGCCGTAAATGTGTCAGCAGAGAAGTAACAGGACATTTTCGACAGAAAGGTCTGCATGGTCTTACAACTAAAGATGACATGTCATGGTAATTCTTCAACCGTAATACACGGTACATTTATCTCTCACAGCCTTTAAGAGTTTTTTTCAATGATTTGATGTAAAAGAAAAAGATATATCCATATTAAACTCTTAAATATAAATATCAGCCGAAAAGTAAAATCTGTATCTGTCGTGTAAACTACATTACAAAAGCACATAGATCATGTACAATTCCATTATCTCTGGCAACTTTTTAAATAATAGTACCGGTAGTCATGCTCAAAGGGTTTTTCTTATTCCGTGTTATTGTGAATTTAGCCTGAACTACAAGAACATGGGCAGAAGTTAATGTCAAGGAAGAAAAACAACTATTTTTTCTCAATTCAATGATCTACAAAAAGTCGTATCCAGGGTGACAGAAATGTTTCTGTTAGAGGTGAACACAGCCTCCTTTATATATAAATATGCTGTAAGCTTGTTTGCATGCACTGTCAGTAACAGCAGTGACATGGGATCTGTTTGAGAAGATTTGTTTCAAAATTATAAGCAAACAATGGACACATTCTTCTTAAAAAGGGAGCATCATGGATGTGGTTTAGTTGAGCAAAAGTCAGTTAATGAGTTATACAAATGTTCATGTTGAAATATTGCACTAACTATGTTTTTATCAGAATGAGAATCTCGTGAACTGTGTCTCCATTATTTCCCCCGATTGTCATGGATGCTACACTTGTTAATATGCAGCAAATCAAACTCATGATATATTTCTATAATCTACGAATATAGAGTTATATACCGCCTACCCCCGTCATCTAGGACATGTTGATCCCACAATTGATTTTGCGTAAGTGACAGCTCATCAGACTCAGGGGAGCAATGGCACGAAGAGATATGCGATAACCTCGTTCACTGTTTTTCATAATTCATCAGCCTGTCCCAGAATTAGAATAATAACAGAGCTGTGTTTGGATTGTGGAGCGTTGCAAAACAGAGCTAGGATCAAATTCATTTTGACATCAGTGTTGTTTTGTCGGGACTGTCATTTCGCTCTGTTTTCCTTTGTAAATGTACTTTGAGAGTCCATATCCATCAATGTCCAAGCGCATTTGAGTATATTGGTCCGAAATGTGCACCCAGTGAGATTTTCTTTTCTCAACATCTGCAATCTCATGAAAATGTTCCCAATAAATTTTTTGGGTTTTATTGATCCTTAATTAGCCATGCATATTGATTAGTTGTGCCATTTAAGCATCTCCAGATTTAGTTTCGGCCTGTCATTGGTTTAGCTTGTTTTCACTCCACATTCACACTGATATGTGTGATGACTCATTGGCTTAATTTAGTCTGGACACATTTCTTGTCAGTTGATAATCTGTTCAGCCCTCTCCCATGTCTGATAGCCTTCAGTTTAGACATCTACGGCAAATTATTGAGTGATGGGCTTTTAGGCTTTAGGAGAATATACAAGGCTGCTGATCAATGTCTCCATAACAGGTCTTAATCATTGTCTGTCTTTTGCACGAAGGGATATAAATCCAGTATGCAGAAGCATAACCTATATATCCTTACACATATGAATTTGAATCCTGCACTCCATTACAAATCAATCACTGCAGTATGTATCCTGCATGACATTTCAGAATAATACATTTTTTGTCCTGTTGAACTTTTAACAAGAAATGCTCTGCAGCCTTAACCGTGACACATCAATGAGTGTGTATTCAGTCCTGATTTATATTTAAGGAAGGTGGTGGTGATTGTTTTGATGATATTTGATCAAGACCCCATATGAGAGCCGTTGTCAGCTCCAGTTGTACGACACATAGATGAGAGAGCCGGATATTTATTGCAGCGATTGCCTGCTGGTGAGTGTGCTCTGACTTATATGCCGCCGCGGGACACCTGACACCTTTGTTTGATGTAAACCTCTCAATTCTTAAGTCTTCAACTATATGGGCACTTTCACAATGCAGAGAAGAGGTTTATCTGTCAAGGGGAACCATCAGAAATGATTTGTTGATGATTTAATTTTCATCCCGGGAGTATATGGCTGTATAAATAAATGCTTCCAAACAGGCCGGGCACACAGGCGACCTGATGATGGAGCTGTGGCATAATCTCTTAGATGAGAGAAGAAAAGTCGGAGAAACTTTCTGAGCCAATCGGCTACATTTGGATTTAAATGTGATTGCTTTCGTGTGTGTGTCATGTACTTTTTGAAATTCACATTTGGATCATCCCTGTGAATGCTGTTTTTTTTTTCTACAAATGAATGCATCTTTTTATTTACCTGCAGGAAGTTGCAGTTTTACAATCAAGGCTTTAAGGTCCTCTATTATGTTACAGATGAAAGCCTAGTCACACACCACCCTTAATCCTGAGCTTAGTAATAGCAGTCAATTAAAGAGTATGCAAGTTGATTTCCTCATGCATTGTGTCTGATCTGTGTAGGTCTTATATCAATACAGATTTTCTTACACATAGTAAAATCACCTGTCTTGAGTATTAACCTTCAAAGTAGTTCTTTAGCATTTCACTGTACTAAGAATGTGTCTGTAAATAAGGAAAAGTACCCTTCACCTTGTATGACAAGCATGCAGAAAGTTGGTCTTTATTGATAACGGTAATTGCTTTAATGAGCTACAGCTAGATCAGATGCTCCTTTGCCTCCTGTGCTATTCAGGTGAAAAGCAGCTTAGGAAAAAAACAAAAACTATTCTCCTGATAATGACCAGACAGGCAGCAGTGGCCCTCGCCCTTTTGCTCTTGTTAAATTTGTGTTAACCACTCTTTGACTCAGTGTTTTTTAATTAATGGTTTCGCACTCTTTAGCCTCCAGCATTGTCCTTGGCTGTGTTTAAGAAGCCTGAGCGGTAAAGATGGTGAGTTCTGATGTGCCGGGTGTATTTGTAAGGTCAAACAGCAAATCATATCTGAAGGATATTCAGCAATGCTGTGAATGCATTAACTATACATCTGTAAAACACATTTTGAACTAACGGCAAAGTAGTTAAATCTGAATTAACTAAAGTCTGCTGCTGTACAGAAACACAGTAGCCTACACAGACATAGTAACTAAGATTTGCTGTTTTTTTGTTTAATAAGCTTAAAATGCTACTAAATTAGCAGCTAACTAGCTATGTTAGCTTATATTATTACTCAGCATTCAAAATGGAGAATCAATGTGAGCAGCAGCGGCTAAGCGGTTGATTAAGAGTTTCCTCATCATTTTATAAATGTCCCCAAAGAAAGACTCAAGTTTTCTTCTTTGGGTATAGTCTATTTGCCAGCAGGTGCTAGCTAATAAGCTAACGGTTGCTAAAGGAGCAGGCACTGGTGAGAACACTCACAAAAAACTGACTCAAAAACTAATTATTAGAAATGTTCAATTGATCTAATATTTAAAATAAGTTATTTTGGGCTATTTTACTCAATGTTTACTTCATTTATTCAGGTGACTACGCCATATCTCTTTTTAAAATCGTTTAGTGCTCAATATATTTGGCCATGCAGTCATGTTTTCTCACCTCGGACCACAATAGTGGTGGACTTCTTGGCCGGGTTTCCCACACTGTTGCTGGCCACGCAGCTGTAGACCCCCGCCTCGTCTGAGGTGATGGCTGGGAGTGTGAGCGTGCCCCCCTTCACCACGCTCCTTTGTGGTAGGCTGTCATTACTGCAGATCCAGGTGAGAATGGGGGGCGGCTCTCCCCCTGTGGTGATGCACACCAAGGACACCGTCTGGCCCGGGTTCACTACGATGGGGTCCTCCACCAGCAGCTTGATGGAGGGGGAGGCTGTCAAAGACAAGCAAATCGAAAAATGTAAAGAACGGCAGAAAATGGGTAACATTGGCTGTTATAACAATATACTGTATGTCAGTTCACTGTTTCCTCGTCTGCCCAACACTTATTTATACACCTTTATAGCATTTGCCGTCTTCTTTAGCATCTACATGACTTGAAATAATACTATAAGCACTGCTACAGCAGTAATTGTGGGTGTAATATGCTTATAAATAATCTTAGGTACCTGTCTTATTGGTGAGTTTGAAGATAACACTGCGGTCAAGGATCGCACACACATTTCTGACAGAGGCCACGCAGCTGTAGTTGGCGTAGTCCTGAGGGCGCAGGTTCTTCAGCTTCAAAATCTTCGTTTCCCCCTGCAGCTCAGACCAAACCACAACTGGTATGCAAATGTGTGCTAAACACTATCATAATCAAGTAAAATAAATGCAGAAAGCTACGTGGTGGGACGGAGATGACAAAGGCCAAACAGCTCCAAAGAAAAGGTCAAAGAGATGAATATGTATACAGTTTTAATGAAGCCAAAAAATAAAGAGTGGCAGAGTTCAAGAATAGTACTGTAAAATCAGTGGTAGAAATGATGGAGCCAGTTTTAAAAGGAAATGGATGTGTCAAAGTGTTTAATACCAACGAGTGGATTTTTCTCCAGTCAATGGCAATGTGGTATTTTCACCATTCAGCTGCAGTAATATGGATGGTTCTCAGCAGGGAAGGGCTATCTCACTTATAATGTGTTTGATTCCAGCCGGGCCTGTCAACAGCGAGCCCCGCCCAGGAGGCTATAATGAGGATTTGGACCTTTGATCTGACTGACTCCAATGTGTGGGTGTCGGGTTGGAAGGAGGAGGCAGTGGATTATAACATGAGTCAGCCACACGATGCTGCAGTCTGCGCAACATGGCAATCACTCACGTCTTTCATATCCAACGAGGCTCATGGATCACATAATTATATTAGATTAGCCATGGACCCCACGCTCCTCTTCCTTTATGTCTCTGTCACCTCCTCTGCCTCAGAGCAGAGATCAGGAGATGGGGTCTGCGTTATTCTGAGTGCAAGCTTTACTCACAGCAGGTGGGTGGTGGTGGGGGGGGGGCAGATTTGAAGGAAAATCTATTTGGATAATGCAAGGGGCAGAGAAAGGAATGGAAAGGACAAACACATTAAGCCGAATTGGACAAGGGGGATTGATGGCCATATCGATGGGAAGATTGAACACAAGAGCTTTGGGAACGAGACTGTAGGTAAAGGGCAAAGAAATTATGGAGCAGAGCATTGTCATTGTGAGGGAAAAATATCAGTTTTCATGTTTTAAATTACATGTTTGAGGGATCAAATGCTGGGAACATAAAGATGAGGCATAAAGATGAAAATTAGGAAATGTTTCATGCTAGCAGCAGGAAAACGAATGACTTGACTACATGGGGGCTAAAAAATTAGCAAGGAAGTTAAATGTGACATAAATCCCATGTGGGCGATAACAATATGTTGCTAACTTTAAATGGTTACCTCCTCAATAACTAAAAACATGCTCAAACAGAACATCAGATCGCAAAACAAAACATCATAAACATGAAAACATATCAGCTGCTATAAAGAGGTGGGAATCTGACAAGGGATGAGCAATGGCTCCATTATACCTTCGATAATTGTCCTATTCTGTGGCACTTTGGTGGGGAAATCATGCATTGAGAGGTGGAGGAAGAAGTAACAGACAGTAGAAAGGAGAGTCTCTACAATAAAGTCACAGCTGTGGCTCTCATTTAATAATTTCTTCATATTACAGTCTCTGAAATGCCACCTCTGCATTCCTACAGTTTCAGTGGGAATATTTTACGTAAATTTGATGGACTGAAGAAGGTGTAAGGGGAATGGAGCCGGGATGAAGGATAATGGAGGGAGGATAGTACAGAGGTGAATTCAACTCAATAATGTGCCAGGCCAAAATGGAGGCCTGGCTGCTCTGTAATGGAGTCTACTTCCCGTAGGCTTTATTTTGGTCGGTTAGGAATTTGTCAGAGTGTGTTTCAGGCAAGTTCAGACATATTGGTAAAAAATAATTGTACTAGCCATTTATACAAGCATATTACTAGGAGTTTAGTCAGGATTTATTTGGAGTTTGACTGTCACAAAGTTAATTTCTGGGTTTGGTTTGCACTCATATTTTCCGAACCAATTAAAGCCTTAATAGAGGGCAGGATGATGGACCAGAGAGGTACGGAGAAGGGAAGAGTGCCTGATGAGGCCTCGTTTCTTCAGCTTCCTTCACACACTCCATTAGTTCCCAGCTATCTTTCTCCATTTGGCCAAACATCCATTTCACTTCCTTTTTCTCTCTCTCTGTTTCTTAAGCCTCTTTTTCTCAGTCCCATGTCTTTTTCTCTGGCAAACCCGGTTTAACATACAAATCACATTCAACTCAACCAATTAAAAAAATACAATTCGCTCACTGGTGCCGGAGCTGTCTCAATCAGCTCTTTGTTGACAGCACATTATCCTTTTTTAGAGGAAAAGTTTCTCAATTTCCAGAAAAATAAATCCACAATTGAGAGAACTGATTGTGAAAAGAACTCAATCATCCTTTGACTGAAGGGAGTTAATATGCATGTAACTGTGAAACTGGGTTAGTCAAACTGACACAGCTCTTCATAGGGTAAACGAGTGCAGATTCAAGGGGGTTGTGTAAGGGTTTGGGGTAGGGTTATGAAACAACCAAAAAACTGTCCAAATGGTACCGTCTCCTTTTCTTCTACATGATATAGCAACACCGTTATTCCAGTATTTAACATTGCAATATGTTAAACTAATGACAACATGTTGACTCACCAGTTAGCTACTTCGGCTTGCTCATCTTGTGAAAACAACTCAGTGTGCTTGTGTTGTGTTCTTGAACTTATTACTCAGTCTAAATAGGTTGATGAAGGTCAGCATTTACATAATTGTAATGTCTAAGGCCTTAAAGTATATGCAGAACATGAGAATCAGTCAACTGATTTACAATGCAATGCTCATTACAAGTGGTAATAATAAGACAATCATTAATGGTTAGATTTACGTCAAGGGATTATGATTATATCTTTTTTTTTTAATGGAAACTATTACCTGATAATGAATTTGCTGTCAGAACATTATGTTTGGTAGCGTGGCTGAAACATTCACAATCGTTTTTATACATAAAATCATAGCTACAAGCAGACATCAAACCCTCTCATTGTGTCACGAGACCTTTAAATATGAAAGAGCACTGTCTGAAAGAGCTTCAGCACATGATCTCCTGATGAATGTATCTTTATACTCCTACTAAAGCTTATTATGGTTGTTTCACACCCTTTATTCTGTATCAGCCTATGTATCCTGTCTTTGTAGTGTGCATAGGGAGGGCAAAAGGTGCATGTCTTCACAACAGCAAAATTAAACGATTGCCAAAATCCTCAAGTTGAATGTCCGACCTTAAGGCTTTACTTGTACAGAATGAAAGGAATAGAATATTTATTCACTGCACTATTTCGTCTTATTTTAATAACTTCATCCATGTTTCCGTGTCTTACCTGAGTGAAAAAGGGCTCGTAGATCTCCACTCCCTTGTCCGAGCCCTGCGTCAGGACCTCTCTCCCGCGGTGCCAGCTGTAGCGGACGGGCGGGTTGGAGTTGGCCACGCAGCGCAGAAACACTGTCCTCTCATAGTAGAACTGTTCCTTAGCTTCTCCTATACTCTGGTGCACCGTCACCGTCGGTTCATCAAGGTCTAGGAGAGAAGAAAAACAGCATGAATAAATTCCATGAGTTTTTCGGACAAGTATAAGACTGCAATCAGTAACAAGGGCCACTTTTCACGGCATTTTCTAAGGAATAATAAACCAATCAAGTGTAAAATCTTTGTATCAGTAAACACGACTACAATCTCTCGGCTTGATTGTGGTTGAAGGTCTGACCAAAAGGGTCAGAATTGTCATTGCATTAGGAGGGTGAGTTATCAGCATGGGCGCCGGGGGTCGATGTGGGAAAGGAGGTGAGAAGCCAACTACTTGAACTACTTAAGTCAATAGGATGCAGCCCAAGGACACATTGACTTCCCAGTCAATGAGTGAGCTGCTGTGTTCCAGGTTACACCGCATTGTGAGTTTCATACTTCATCATGTGATCAAATACAGCCTGTAAAATGATATTGGACACATTCAAGTATAATGTTAATGCTCTGATCTAGGCTTTCTTTGATTTTACACGTCTGTTACTTTGCCCATTTCCCAGAGGATATGAGGGACGTGTTACCCCAACACTTGGTTATTTGAGAAAGCGCTGGTGTTTGATTAAATGGATTCAAAGTTAATCATCTTACCCGGCTATCGCATTAAGCCTTGGCAAATGGTGTTCATCATAGCTGTGGTGTCTTTAAGCATGCTAATGCTCCCCCCTTTAAGATTATGTTCATTTGCACGCTCAAAGAACGTGGGGAGCTTGCTGTTCCCCTTTCATCTGAGTCCGAGATGCAATCATTTTTTGACACGAGCCAAAAGGCAATTTAAGGGAGAGGATGAGGGGAACTTATCCCTCGTGCTAAAATTCAAACTGATAAAGGCTGACCTTTTGTATAGAAAGAGGAAAGTGATTGAGTGTATTAAGGAGTGAGTTAGTGCATCAGTGAGCGAGCAACAAGGTGGATGATTGAGGGATGGAGATCGTGTGAATATGTGCAAACCCGCTTACAGTAAATGAATAACCAAACCTTTAACGATTATAAGCCTCCAGAAGAAAAAGTACACACGCCTTGGGTATTATTAATGGATGAATTCATCGCTTTTAATTCAGTAGCGGCTGCACACCTCTGGATTTGCTGAGGATCAGGTCCTAATCAAGGTGCCTGCGGGGCCACACTGCGCAGCATCCAGCCACAGAATGCTGATTCCTCAGTTTCATTAAAGACATGTTCTGCCCTACAGCCCCTTAATCAAAATCTAGCAGCGGTCAATACTTCATCCAGGATCCATTAGAGTGTCTCAGGTAAGAGCAATTACCTTTAGAGGGGGGGGCGGGGGGTTGGGAGAAACAGGGGAGGGGGTGACAACGGAGAGATTGCTGGCCATTTTAGAGCAGCCGATTGCTAAGTAAATACACTGATTCATTACAGAGGGGAGGAGGAGAGTATGAATCCCACATCTTATCTGTGACTCTTCCCTGTTTCCCCCTCATCCATTCCCTGCTTCAAACAGCCAATTTACCGACTGTGGCAGGAATGGAGTGATTCATTGACAGCCCTATCTACCTTGGGATACACGTGTCTTAAAGCAGCAGGGCTGAAGGGAGGATGTCTTTATTTCCTTGTAGTGACAACAGAGTGTGTTTCTGTATGTTTGTGTATTAGGTAAAGGAGCGGTTTGAGCTATTAATAGGGCCAAAATGATATGCAGAAAGGAAGTGGCTGCTAGGAGCGCAAAGAGATAAATATGGAAATATGGAAATGTACGCACTGGATTAAAATTTGATGAATTTTAAACAAAATTCCACCTACACCATCAGTCTTTCCCCCCGAAAGGATGGTGTGTGAGTGTGTGTTATGTGTGTGTTATTTGTGTGTGTGTCACTCTTGTGCAATTAGCTTCTGAAGTCACGCTTGACTGATTGTGAAGCTTAAATCCCCGGGCCCAGAGGAAAACTGCGGTGTACAGGCCGCCTGCGCCAGAGTTGTTAAGGTTTGTAATTGCAGGTTTATGAGTTCACAGGCCGGTAAATCTGCCCATGTACAGCTAAACGCTCCAGCGAGCTAACCTTAGCATCACTCCTGCTCACTCCCACCAACCATGACAAGGCTCAAAGCTCCGGGTTTCTTTGATATTAAGACACGGGAGCAGCGTGAACGGCAGACACACAATGCGTGCGCAATGAGGTCTTGGAAGACAACCGGGGGAAAAAAAAGGTATTCAGTTTATCTAAAATCTCTTTGTTCTCTCGAGTGAAACCCCCCCCCTCCCCCCTGAAGACGTTAAAAAGCAGGTAGGAGATTTGGGCTTTGTAAGCCTACCTAAACATTTGTCGGACAAATAGGCACAAGCGAGTGGTTTGGATAAAAGGGAGTTTGAGGATTAAACAAGGTGCTTCATTATCACATCAAACCTTTGCTCCTTCCTTTGAAGTCCCCCACTCCCACTGCCGGAAAAAAGAAAACAGACACCTTCACAAAAACTCACACACATTAACCTTTCCCACCTTCACAACCTCAGCCACCCACACACACACACACACACACACACACACACACACAGACATCACACACCTTTTTAGGAACGTCTCTCGGGTGTTAATCTAAAGTTTTTTCTATTTTTTGCCTGGCTTTGATGTCTTTCACTCCCTCCCTCTGATGTGTCAAAGTCACCTGGGAGGAGAACACCTATCTGGCTCCCAGGCTGTCAGCCACCAGCGACAGAGGCCCGCCATTAATTTCACCTGATCACCGTCCCAGCTTGATTACCAGCGGGAGGCGATGACCTGAATGACATTTGGAGCGACGCCTTTCATGAGTAGAAACAGCCCTGTTCTGACTAAGACAAGATATTTGCTTTTATTTTTGTGCCAGGGGACAATGAGGGAGAGCGGGGGAGTAATAAGGCGGTCGTGGTTAGAGGGGAACAGAGACAAAAGGGAGGAAGAATAAGGTTGAGAGCATGTATGAACTTCTACCTGGCTGTTGTCAAGATGAGAACAGGATGTTGTACATCAGATGTTACCAAATTAGGGTGCCTCACTCTCGTTCTCTCTCATAACGCTTTTTTTCCCCCGGTGGAAACATGTGCAGAAGGCATAAGCACATTAGGGAAGTTGTTACTTGGCAGCCTGTACTGTGATTGACCTTACCTTCAAGTTTAGTTTGGAGATGATTTTTGAAAGTAAATCCTTAAAAAAAAAGGGACACCAACTCCACGTAAAAATGGAAAAATTAATTCCTGGCTTTTTAGATATTCTCCAACCAGATCCAAAAAAAAAGGCGGTTTGTGCGTATACTTCAATTTATAAAAAATATCACAGGCTGCTGTTTTTAAATAAATAGGACATTCAGGTAAAGGGCAAGGAGGGTTTAGGGTGAGATATTTCCACACGGATGCATAATGCTTTGGATTAATGTTCTGTAAGAGGACCTTACATTTGCAATATGCGACATGAGTACACAATGTGTAAACACACTACATCAAATGAGACAGCAGAGATATAACATGATCTCGATGTCGTGTAATTTCCATTTGCAGAACGGCACACTTTAATGCATTTCATTTATGTGGGTGAGAAGGTTAATAAGCCACCGTGGTGATATATAACATCCATCTCATGTGGAGTCCACTGATGGAATATGTGTATCCGGCATGTAATTTACTGTTGGAACATTTTCTTTCCCTCCATCTCTCAACCCATTGGCAACAGTGACCTCTATCTCATGGCTGCACTCAACAATAACCAGCTCCCTGCTAGCTGTATCTATTTGGTGTCAGCTGGTGCTTAGTACTAAAGTGTGATTGTGGTGGCGGATGGATGTGTTTGGAGGGTGGCGAGGGGCATGATGCATCTATTCCCACAATAAGTCCACTCTGACGATGGCGCCTGTGTAACAGAGATATCTCAGAGAACTGAATATCATTCTCCGAGACGTGAGAGACGAGCGTGAGCTATCGAGCGGGGGGGAATTAAAGGAGGGAGAGCCGAGAATCCTGGGAGAAGCTCATTCAGTCTGTGTGCGATATCTGGGTGCAGCGCCGTAACGCACATCTCTATGTTGAGCAATACATTAACAGTGAATGGACACATCATACAGCATCGAGCCACACAACAAAATTGATAATGAAAACGTGATCCAGCTCTGATTGGTAGATTGTGAACTTTATGATATTTTATAACTGGAATTGAATGTATGTCTAAGCCTTGGAATACATTGACTTCCATGCAGATCAAACAAGTCACCTGAAATATAGCATGTGTGTGCATGTAGAATTATGTTGGCAAGCAAACTCTAAAGAGACTACTGCAAATAACCAGATTAAGGTAATCATTTGAAGAAGATGTTTTCGATTACTACTCCCCACTACAGATATATTAGGGCTGTCCCTACTCTACGATTTGCTGACAAAACACTTTGGTTGACTGGGAAATAGATTATTGATTTTTACGTTATAGGTTAGTCAATCAGGTAAAAGTCATTAGTTTAGAATGGCTTGGCTCATCGTTGCCCCTTAGTGCTTTTGTTAAGGTAAAAGGTGAACTAATGATAAACACTATAGAGGATTGGGTCATTAGGACTGCCTTCAGACAGTTAGCTTTTTCAGTGACTGCCTGCCAACATTGTTAATATATTGTAATTTCAAAATGGATTTCCAATTCATAGAAACTAAGCATGTTTATTCTAAAAGGCATTATTTTATATTTTACACAAGAAATATCCCTTTTAAAGCTAAACTTCCAATTACTCATGTCATGTGTAAATGTCTTGATATTATATTATTTGGGTGATTTAAAACTATTTCATGTGGTGTTTTATATAGGTTTCCGTGCATGTTCTGCAAAGGCTAAATCCCAAATCTCTCACACACTCCCCCCGTGTCCGAACCACCTTGATTTGACTATTTTTTTTACTTCTGTAACATAGTGACATCACTATGTAACATTCGCAATTCTATTGGCTGGCGCTCATTGTATGCAATAGGCTGAGAAGCAGGACCTTTCTGACACATCTCGAAGCCGTTTACTAAATCCAACATAGCCAGCTAG